GTGCGACCCCTCGTGAGTCAGCACGTGGGTGTGTGGTTTGAGCCTTCTGGAGAGACTGCGGTGTGTGTTGACGGAGACTCTTACCAGCCTCTTGCTACCTTTACTGCTGAGCCGGGCTCGGGTCTCTACACTCTTCGCACTGGCCCGCGTGCGCCGCAGCAGCAGCCGCAGCAGCAGCAGCAGCCGCAGCCGCAGCAGCAGCAGCAGCACCAGCACCAGCGGCCGCACCAGCAGCCCCCCCTACTGCCACTGCCCCCGGTTCCCCCCCCCGTTCGGGTCCCCGTGTCTCACCAGGTTGCTTCGTCCCCCCAGGTGTCTGTGTCGTGTCAGGTTCCTACGTCTGTTCCAGTCGCTGCGTCGTGCTCCTGCCAGTCGCTTGCCCACCCCACCGTTCTGTGGCACCACCGGATGGGGCACCCGTCCCTTCCTCGTGTGCGCGCTATGTCTAGTCAGCGTCTTGTCCTAGGCCTCCCACGTGTCTTGCCGTCGCTGCCGCCTTCGCTTGCGCCGCCGTGTCGTCCCTGCGTCGAGGGTAGGCTGCGCGCCACCCCTCACTCCTCCTCCCTTCGTCCGGCCACCGAGCCTTTTGAGACGCTTCACTTGGACGTCTTGGGCCCCGCCCCTCGTCTAGGCCCTGAGCGTGAGCGTTACTTTCTGGTGGTCGTTGACGACTTCTCCCGCTACACCACAGTGTTCCCACTGGCGAAGAAGTCTGAGGTGACTTCTACGCTGATCAGGTGGTTGCTCACCACCGAGGACACTCGTGGTCGTCGTGTCAGCTGTCTCCACTCCGACCGTGGGGGTGAGTTTCGCTCCGGCATTCTCGCTGGATTCTGTCGCGAGCAGGGCATTCGTCAGTCCTGGACGCTTCCAGAGTCCCCACAGCAGAATGGGGTTGCTGAGCGCCGCATAGGCCTGGTCATGGAGATCGCCCGCACCTCCCTGACTCACGCCTGTGCCCCCCATTTTCTGTGGCCCTACGCGGTCAGGTACGCCGCGCACCAGCTGAACCTCTGGCCACGTGTCTCTCGACCAGAGGTTTCACCGACCAGTCTTTGGACAGGGTCCCCTGGTGTTGCGTCGCGGTTTCGTGTCTGGGGGTGCTTGGCTCTTGTCCGCGACACCTCCGCGGACAAGCTCTCGCCTCGTGCCGTCCCCTGTGTCTTCCTTGGTTTCCCTGAGGACTCCTCTGACTTCACCTTTTACCACCCTCCCTCTCACCGGTTCTTTGACTCCCGTGACGTCCGTTTCGAGGAGTCCACTCTGTACTACGTCAGGTACCCCAGTCGAGGTCTCCCGGTTCCTCCTCCCCCCCTCTTCGTGACTGCCGCTCCCCCTCCTGCTCCCCCGGTACAGCCTCCCCCCCCTGGCCCAGCCCCGTCAGGTGTGTCCCAGGCTACCCCTCCTCCTTCGGTAGCCCCTCCGGTACAGCCTCCCTCCCCACAGTCCTCCTCGCAGCGTGCCGCTGGTGCTAGCTCTCGAGAGGTTGGTGCTGCGCCTGTTCCTGTACCGGTTTCTGGTTCTGGGGGTGCTGGAGTTGGAGCTGGTGTTGGAGCTGGAGGTGGAGCTGGAGTAGGCACTGGAGTTTCTGGTTCTGGGGGTGCTGGAGTTGGAGCTGGAGTTTCTGGTTCTGGAGTTGGAGCTGACCCGGTGGGTGCAGAGGACTCTTGTCGTCCGGGAGCCAGTGCTGGCCGCGCGGACTCTGGGGGTGCTCCCTCTGGGGGTGAGGGTGCGCCTGCTTCGGCATCTGGTGCGCCTGGGTCTGGAGCTGGTGTTAGTGCTGCCTCTGGGGGTGGTGCGCCTGGTTCTTCGGGGGTTGACTCTGGAGCTGCCGCTGCTTCGGACACTACTCCGCCCCCCCACCCCTACCCGACTAGGCACCAGGCTCGTGTTCGCCGTGCGCGTGACGAGCAGCTGGAGTTGGAGAGAGAGGAGAGGGAGTTACAGCGGCTGGCGGAGCAGCAGCAGCAGCTGGACCCGCAGGAGCAGCAGTCCCAGCAGCAGCCGCGTCCGCAGCAGCAGCAGTCGCAGCAGCAGCAGCAGCAGCCACTTCCTCCTCCTGTCTCGGGTCTTCGGGCCCTTGGTCTCCCCTCCCCTTCTCCTCCCTCCTCCGCCTCTCCTCCTGTCTACGGTCCCACGTTTCCTCCGCCTGACTCCTCCCCCGCTGTTTTCTCTAGTTCTCCGCCTTTGTCCTCTCCTCCTCCGTCTCGTTCTTGGGCTACTCGTCGCTCCCCTCGTGCTCGTCCCTCGTCTCCTGTTCCCTTCACTGACCTTCGTACTGCCTTACTTTGTTCCAGTCCACCTCGTCCGTCTCAGTCTGTGCTTCCGTCTCCTCCTGAGTCGGCCCTCACCGTGTCGATCCCTGCTCTTGTCACTGACTACTACCGCACGTACCGTCCTGTTCTCTCTCGTGTTCTCGCCTCTCTTGTTACTCACCCTCGTGCCTCTGTGTCCTCTGTGTCTGCTCTTACTGCCGCGGTTACTGACTTTGCCGCTACCCGCCGCCTTGACTACGCCACCACGCTTGTGGCTGCTCCTCCTACCAGTCCTCTGGCCGTCGGGGGTGTGTCTGCCCTTGGCTGTGACGCCCTAGAGGACAGGCAGTTTGAGCTAGAGTTCCTGGCGGCCGCTTCCCCTCATCTCTGTGCCATGCTCCTCGCCCCTGAGGGTGACCCCGACGCCCTTGACATTCCGACTCCTCGCACTTACGCTGAGGCAGTGTCAGGGCCTTGGGCCTCTCAGTGGAGAGCTGCCATGGACGCAGAGATGGCCTCCTACAGATCCACAGGCACCTACGTCGATGAGGTTCCCCCCCCTGGGGCGAACGTAGTCGACGGCATGTGGATCTACAGGGTGAAGCGGCCACCGGGATCTCCCCCGGTCTTCAAGGCGCGCTACGTGGCTAGAGGTTTCAGTCAGCGCGAGGGAGTTGACTTCTTTCAGACCTTCGCACCTACCCCGAAGATGACCACTCTTCGGGTGTTACTACACGTAGCAGCACAAAGAGACTACGAGTTACACTCTCTCGACTTCTCCACTGCTTTCCTTCAGGGCAGCCTACACGAGGAGGTCTGGTTGCGTCGTCCCTCGGCCTTCACTGGCACTTTCCCTCCTGGGACCCAGTGGAGGCTGAGGCGACCTGTTTACGGTCTTCGCCAGGCCCCTCGCGAGTGGCACGACACTCTGCGTTCTACCCTCTCTGACCTTGGGTTCCAGCCGTCTTCTGCCGACCCGTCGCTGTTCGTTCGTCGTGGCTCCACACCGTTCTTTGTTCTGGTCTACGTCGACAACCTCGTTTTCGCCACTCCGGACAGGGTTGCTTTGGCAGACGTGAAGTCCGAACTGCAGAAGAGACACACGTGCACTGATCTTGGTGAGCTGCGCCACTACCTTGGCCTGCAGATCACCAGGGACAGAGCCGCTCGCACCATTACACTCTCACAGTCACACATGGTGCAGCAGGTCCTTCAGCGGTTCGGGCTTCAGCACTCCACCGTACAGCGCACACCTCTCGCTGTTGACCACAGACTCACTGGTCCCTTTCCTGACGAGCCGTTTGAGCCTAGTGGTCCCTACGCAGAGCTTGTGGGTTGCCTCATGTACCTGATGACTTGTACTCGCCCGGACCTCGCCTTCCCTCTCAGCATCCTTGCGCGCTTTGTTGCGCCAGGGAGACACCGTCCTGTTCACTGGACGGCAGCTGTGAGGGTGGCGAAGTACCTAGCGACTACATCAGGCGTGGGGCTAGTTCTTGGAGGGCAGCAGTCTGTCGTACTCACTGGTCACTGTGACTCCTCTTACGCTGACGACGCTGAGACTCACAGGTCTACTCAGGGGTACTGTTTCAGTCTGGGTTCTGGAGCTGTTTCCTGGCGTTCCACGCGCTCCTCTTCTGTCTCGACCTCTACAGCTGAGGCTGAGATTTACGCTGGTGCCATGGCGGCACAGGAGTTGCGGTGGTTGACCTTCTTGCTCGCCGACCTTGGTGAGCGGCCGAGCTCTGCACCGACCTTGTTTACTGACAACAAGGCGTCGATCCTCCTCTGTCGTGAGCCGCGACTGGAGAGCAGAGTGAAGCACATTCATGTCAGGTACTTTCTTCTGCGAGAGTTGCAGAGACGTGGACAGGCTCGCTTCGAGTTCGTGGAGTCCGAGGCCAACACTGCAGACATCTTCACCAAGGCGCTTCCGCCTTGTGACCACCAGAGGTGTTGTGTGCAGTTAGGCCTTGTTGACACAGGTTCTAGTCATGCGTAGACTTGAGTTTATTGCCTGCTTCGTCTGTACACTTGCTATATATACTTGTGATCTCTTGGACTGGCCTTGTGGCCACTGTTGCTTGTGCTCAGAGTGTGTGGTGACGTTGTGATCCACCCTGAGCTTTGTTTTCTTTTGGACTGGTCTTGTGACCGTACTCTTTTTGATTTTGCTAGACACCCCTCACTTAGGCTATGGGGGTGTGTCAAATGTTGTAGCCTGTAGTGAGGTTTGTCTTAGGGGGTACAGAAGTTAGGGTTTGTCATATGTACCCCAACCAACATCAATGGAAACACCATTCCTCATTCTGACACCCTGATGCATCAACGTCCCTAAAAGTGAATCTGAGGGCCTGCTATATGCGCGTTTAATCAGGCGCGGTCATATAGAGTCACGAACATAAATTTCGAATATATATCATCACGCGAAAGCATCCATTTTAAATCATCGCGTAAATTGAAAATTGCGGAATTATCAATACAGAGGTTTCGGGGATACGAGCCCTTGTAGGGTAATGCGCCGGGAAAAAAAAGCCAGCGGGAATCCCCTGGCGTGGCCACTCGAGTAATTATCACCAAATTTGGTGGCCACTCGAGTAATTTGAGGCCATGCGAGTAAGGATGAATCAACAAGCCAGGTTCTACAGTAATTCTCTCGGTGGATGTGCTTTCGGTACCTTCTGATGCATCGGCACTCGCCAACATTTCCGCTCGGCAAGGAATTCCTATACAACTACATGCGAGTTAAGTCTCCATCTCCCATCTGTCATCATCCACGGCCTTCCCTTCGCACCCAGAGGCTAGAAAACAGGAAGACGCTGCTAACGATCCCTGATCAAACTCCCCTTTGGCAATTGTTCTTCTCCTCAAAGAAAATGCCTCCTCCACTTGGCCTTTCGCTCTCTCTTGCACTTGCCTGCCTTCGTCCCTGGCATCTCTCTTCTTATCTCGCCCCTCTGCCACTCTACCCCCTACCCCCTGCATCCTCTGCAACAGCAGCGCCCTCAGCTCCTTCTCCCTCTCTGCCTCCACACCCCTCCCCTCCCCATGCCTTCCACCTCGTGCCTTCTCACCCTTTCCCTGCTGCACCTCTACTGCTCCTCCCCACTCCCCATTGTTTCCCCCATCCTTGCATATCCTCCTCTCCTTGGCTTTTTCATTCTTCGCACTCCAACTTCCGCACTCCTTTACCCTCCCGTCCGTATCCCTCCACCCCTCCCTGGAGACTACGTGCAACACTGCCCTCTCACTGACCTTGCCAGCACCTGTACTTCTCTCCTCCCTGCGCATCCCTCCTGCACTCCCTCGTCCCACATCAGGTCGCCTCGCCTCCTCACCTCCACGCACACCCGCTCGCCTTACCTGCCCGCCTGCTCGCCTCTCCCACCCGTGTGAATCCCTGCCTTCCTCCCCATGGCTCCAATCTACCTCATTTTCTCCCTTCCACGATCTCTGTCCCTCGAGTTCCCTATCTACTCTCTTTCGCATCCCCTCCTTTCCCTCACCTTGTATTCCCCATCGTTCCCCCTCCCCATCACTCAACCTCCTCACTCGTCCACTCTCATCCCGCCCATCACTCCCACCACCATCACTGCCATCCCTCCTCAACCCACACGCCCTCTCTTCCCTACCTCTCTCCACAGATCTTCCCTTCCTTTCTCTCCGCTTCTCCTGCCCCTCCCTCTCGTCAATTTCCTTTCCTTTCCCCTTCTTCCCTCTCTCCTCCCTCTCCTCCCTTTCCCCCCTCTCCTCTTTGTCCTCCCTCTCTTCCCCCTCACGCATGTCGCTCCTACTCTCACTGCTCCTGCTATCACGTTCCTCCCACCCCCAGCTGCCCCTCTCTCGCCCCTCCACTGCACGCCTCCCTTTATCCACTCTACTCCGCCCCTCCCCTTCTGCTCCTCCCCGCCCTCTCTTCCCCCCTCCACTCCTTTCCTCTCCTTCCACCCCTTCCCCTTTCTGCGTTGCGCCTTCCCCTGTCCTCCCTATCCTTGTCCCCAGTTCTCCAACAATCGCCCTCACCTCACCACCACTATCACGCCCCCCTCTCCCAACAACCTCCGCCATTTCTCTGACCCCTTCCCCTTCCTTTACTCCCCTCTCCTTCCCCTCCCCCCCCGTCCTCTCCCTGCCCCCCTCGCTCCTCTCCCTGCCCCCCTCACTCCTCTCCCTGCGCGCCTCAATCTCCCTCTCATAATCCCGCGCCCCTCTGCCCCCCCCATACAGCCCCTGCATCTGCTGCTGCCACAGCAGGGGCGGCGGAGCGTCAAAGTCAGCCCACTCGTAGTCACCATGGGGGTTGGCGAAGGGGTGCAGGAACGGGCACGAGGGGCCGCGCGGGCAGCGCTGAACGGGAGTGAGTGAGAGGGCGGGCGGGGAGAAGCAGCAGGAGGAAAGAGAGGCGTGGTTGGGGGCGGATGGGGCTGGGAGGGGGTGTGGGAACAGACAGGTGGACATGCAGGGTTGGTGCTGTGTGTGGGAGGGGGGACGCAGGTGGGGGTCATACAAACGTGCGTGCGGGTGTGAATGTGGGGTAATGGGATGCAGCAGTGGGTTCACTTGACATCTGACATGATGGCTAGGTGGAGGACCACTGCAGTGTACGGGTCGCTCTCCCTCTCCTCCATTCAACACGCCACACTCATCCACCCGTGTGCCGCCTTCTCTCCACTTTTCAACCTCCACTTCCCCCACTTTCCTTCCCCACTCCCTTTCCTAAAACTCCTCCCAGCGCTCTCCCCCTCACCTTGCCCTTCCTGCGGTACTCTCCACAAATGGCGTTGCGCCACCTGTCAATGGGTACCAGCACGCATGCCAGCTGGCGGTGAGGGGAGGGAAGGGGGAGGAGGATGTGAGGGGCGGGGGGAAGAGAAGCGGATGGCAGGAGAAGGAGAGATTGCGCATGTGCGCGAGTACGAGGCGAACGTACTGAGACCATGCACACATGCAAATGGGCACATGGGTACGATCCAAAGGCATGTACTTGCTTCGAATTGTGGAAGTACCCCTTAAAAGGGCACTGCAAGCAACACGGCATGCCTCGCAGCAGCGTGTATCAGCACGTATTCCACCATGCTGCTCAGTACCCGCCTTCGCCCACGCACCTCATGTGCCTCCACACGCACACACCCACCCACACACGTGCCTGCCACTCCAATTCCCCACCCACCCACCGACCCCCACCGCGCACGCACCTGGTGGCGGCCGTAGAAGCGGCCGGCCATGGCAGCGAGGGCGCTGGCGGCATGGGCGGGGTGCATGTAGTCCACGTACACACTGCCGCGCAGGTGGGGCGCTGCGTTGCGACACACCTGCCAGGGGGGAGCACGGGCGGTCCGTTGGTGGTGGGTGGGTGGGTGAGGGGGTGTGGGGGGAGAGAGGAGCGTGAGAGAGAGGGCCAGGGGAGAAGCATGTAGGTAAGGCGAGAACGAGGAAGGTGTGGTGGCATCAACACAGTCACGCGTGAGCAGAACTCAACACATCAAGGGCGACGGGGAGAGGTGAGAGGTAGAGCAGGTGCGGCAGGTTGGAGGGCACTGGCCTTGAAGTTGTAGAGCTCGCCATACTTCTGGAACTCCGTGTGCAGGTCCACATAGAACTGCTCATACGCCCCAACGCCCTCGCCCCCTGCCCGCCCCCATCCCACCTCCTGCTGCTCCCCTTCCTGTGCCTTTTCCTGTGCCCCGCTGCATGGCCGTGTGTGCATACGGTGCGTGCTGTCCCACTCCTGGTCCAGGTAATAGTTCACCCCGGGCGCATGGCATGCGCATGAGGAGCTGTCAGCCTGCTGTGAGGATGGATAGGTGAAGAGCGGTGGGAGTGTGTGGGATGTGGCCTGCGCTATGGTGCATGAAGAACTGGGACATTGGGAAGTGAAGGAGAAAGTGGTGAGGAGAGGAGGGCGAGGAAAGTGGAGGAGAGGAGGGGAAGCAACGAAGGGAGGGAGACGAGAAAGAGGGGACGAGAGGAGGAGAAGGAAAAGCGGAGAAGGAAAGGAAAGGCTGGAAACCAGCTGTTGCAACGAGGGGGAAACGGAACAGAATTTGCAGAAGAAAGGACGAGTGAAAGGAATCGCAAGGGAGGAGAATGGCAGCAGTGAAATGACGAAACAGAGGGACGAAGAGCAAGAGCAAGGGTCTGGTCATGGCACATGCTGCTGCTGCCGCTGCTGTTGCCGCCGCTGCTGCTGCAGTGGCTGCTTCTGCTGGCTCGGGTCAGCAGGGAGCTATAAACCGATGACGCGGAGAGAAACAGTGATGGTCATGTGTCGTTTGGAGGTACGCGCAATGCAAGCTGCTGCAGCAAGTTGAGAGAGCCGCAGCGAGTCGTGTGGTAGGTTGGGTGGTGGAGGACATTCGGGTTAAGGATGGCATTGCATTTCACAGGAGGGCTGGCACAGACCAAGACAGGTGCTTGCACAGGCGAGGGGAAAGAGAGACTAGCGAGAGGAGTGAGATAGGAATGGGGAAGGAATTCAGACAAAGTAGGGAGGAGCGGAGGCACATAACGACACAGGCGCATTAAGCATGTCCTAAACGATACCCACATTCTGACAACCCTACAGCACTTGAGTGGTGACGCGCGTAAGAAGCAGAACAAGAAAAAAGCATCAACCCTTCACACCCGACTAAACCCGTGGGCGGATGAGCAAGCAGGCAAATACGCCACTGAATGGCACCAACCTCTGACGCGGCAGCAGCAGAAGCAGAGCCAGAGGAGGTGCAGGAGGACGAGGTGAGAGGGGGCAAGCCCGGGCCTTGGTAGAGGTTGGGGAGGAGGAGAGTGTGAGTGAGGTGCGGGTGAGGATATGAGTGCAGACGCGTGCACGAGAGGCCGTAGCGACAGGCACCCGTCTTGAGGAAAAAGGGGCAGGGCGGGGGCAGCTGCAGGGGGGGGGTGGGGGAGGGCGGAGGGCGGCAGGAGGGAGAGGAGATATGGTGAGGGGTGGAGAAATGGATTGGATGAAGAGAAGGAATTATGCGGAAAAGTGGGAACGAGCAGGTGGGGGGTGGAAGAGAAGGATGAGGAGCAGGTGAGAGCAGTGGGAGAGAATAACCTGGTCGCTGGGCGCTTGGGACATGCCACATGCAGTTGCGCCTCCACGCCATGGTACTGCCATGCCGCTTTCTCCTGCTGCTGCTGCTCCCGCCACGGGCGTTGTTGGTACTGCTGATGCTCCTGCCAGCATCACCTGTACGAGTGCTTGCACTTGTGGGAAAGGTTCCCTGGTGCCATGTGATGCTGGCTGCAGCAGCGCGGACACTGCACCAGGTGCAGTGCACGCAGCGGCAGTGGAAGCAGTGGCAGGAGGAAGGGCTGACGCCATCGCTGCTGCTGCTGCCGCTGCAGCAGCAACCATATTGGCCGATGCAGCATCAGGTGCAGCAGCAGCAGCAGCGGCAGGAGAGGGGGTCGCAGATGGCAAGCGGGCAAAGGAAGGCGCAGGGAGAAGGGGCGCGGATGGGGGAGGAGCTTTCGCATGTGTGGGGGGCTGTGGTGCGGACAGGAGAGGAGGGAGTAGGGAAGGGGGTAGAGGTGCGCGAGGTGCAGAGAGAGGTGGGTGCTTGGGTGGTGGGAGACGAGCAGACGCACATGGACCTGCGCCCTGCTGCTGCTGATTCTCATTCTCGTGCTGCTGAGTGTGCTGGTGTGCACGCACTGCATGGGTTGTGGTGTGTGAGGACGTGACTCTGCGGCTGGTGAGCGCGGATGCTGAGGCCGCTGCTTGCACGGTCAGTGATGGCTGCAGCGAGACAGAGAGAGGAAGGGGATAGTTAGTTTGATATAGGTCATGTTGGCTCTACTTGCTCTAGGCTCTACATGTCACGTTCTATATCAATGAAAGGACCATTCGAGAGAGGAAGGGGAACAGCGAGCCAGGGGGGAAAATGGGGGCTGGGAGATGATGAAGGAGAGGACACAGGGGGTGACAGGGGATGGGTGGACGGGGAGGTAGAATGTAGAAACGGGAGCACGTGTGGACAAACACACGGACGAGCAGCTCCCGCACCCCACTGCACCACACATCCACCTTCTCTTGCTCGCCTTCACATCACACCCCTATCATCTCCATTCTCGCCCAAACCATGACAAGACAGGTGCCCTGTGTCTTACTTTCCCAACACCCTTCCTCTCCCTCTCTGCATGTCAACCCAGGCAAGCATCCAGTAGCAAGCGAGTGGCCATACCGTGCCAGCATCCCCTGCTGTGCGCGTCACACGCCAACCCCCCTCTGTGCCACTGCCACCATCTGCACCCGCTGCCCCTGCCGGCACTGCTGCTGCCACGCGCACGCGCACAGGCACAGGCACAGCAGTGCCGGGCACCTCTCCAGGCAGGCACTGGCCCTTGCGGCGGCGCATGTTGACGCGCCTCTTGCGCACGATGATGTCGTCCCCCTCCCACACTATGTCCGGCACGCCCCCCACCTCCACCTCCACCTCCTCCTCCTCCTGCTCTTCTTCCTCTTCCTCTGTCTTCTCATCCTCCTCTTTCGTCTGCTGCGAGCATGCGCGTTTGTCCTCCCGCCCTGCTGCCACTGCGCCTGCAACTGCTGCCGCTGCAGCAGCTGCTGCTTCCTGGTTTGACGGAAGAAGGAAAAGAATGGAGCGGGGAGATGGGGGAGTGGAGGTGGAGGGAGGGAGGGAGGGAGGGAGGGAGGGAGGGGGGGAGGGAGGGAGGGAGGGGGGGAGGGAGGGAGGGAGGGAGGGAGGGAGGGAGGGAGGGAGGGAGGGAGGGAGGGAGGGAGGGAGGGAGGGAGGGAGTGGAAAGAGATTGAGTGGCAGCTGCACGAAAGGGCGTGGCGGGGGGGACGGCAGGAAGGAGAGGGAGCAAGCTGATACGAGTTAATCAGCACAGCTGACGCCAGAGCACAAGAGCAATCCGCCTACTTGCCTCCCTCGCAGAGCCCCCCACTCTTGGGCTCCCGTACCTGCCTACCCTCCTCCGCGCGCCCTCCGCCCTCCCTACGTAGCACGTCGCTCCCCTTGCTGCAACCCTGGCTCACCTCTGTCCACCTGCGCCTCTCCTCCACCCGTTTCTTCTCCTCCTCGATCTCCCTCTCTCGCGCCAGCCATCGTCGCTCGCCCTCCTCCCGCGCCCTCCGCTCCTCGTCTTCCGCCTCTCTCCGCCGCCTCTCCTCCTCTATCCGCGCCCATCGCTCTGCGCTGCTCGCTTCCGCCCGTCTCTCCCGCTCCTCCTCCTCCCGCGCAAGGCTTTCCGCCGCGGCAATCGCGCGTTCCCGCCGTTGCTGCTGTCTGCGCGCCTTCTTCGCAGTGCGCCGCCGCTCCTTGCGGGAAAGGCGCGCGCAAGTGGCGGAAGGGTCGGAACGCCTTGACGACGCCGTTGGGGTGGCGGAGTCAGCGGGAGCAGCGGGAGTGGCGGCAACATGCGGGGGCGAGGCATCAGGGAGGCAGTGGGAGGGAGAGGAACGATCGGGATGCGCGGCATCAGGAAGAGCAACGGACGCCATCGCTCTGAGTAACTTTGAATATGGCCGCAAAGATTTGCATGGCGTTTTCGAATCAAACTCGGCTCCAGAGGGAGAGCGACTTTTCCCAAGTACGTGAAATTCTTATCGCGTCATCGCTAGGTGCACATTTTAGTCACGTGGAATTTGGAGTATGGATTCTAAGGAAAAATCATTTTCCTGTACTTCACGCGCGCCCCTCCTTATCGCTTACACGACTTGTAATGAATGTGCAATTCATAACTGTAGAACTGTCCTTAGCGAGGACAGCCCCGAGCAGTTCGCGTCAGCGTGGCTCGGCCTACACTTTCGTACCGAACCACTTCCGGGTCGCCCCGCACCAATCGCGACACTTCCAACCCATCTACGTCCCGAGGTCCTCGCCTAGCACGGTTTCGACCCTATAAATGCTCGCTTCATTATCATTCTTGACATTGTGTAGTTTCATCCTTTTTATAAAGTCTTCTGCACACTCTTCTTAGTACAGCTCATAACACTTGGTATCAGAGCTACTTTCCTAGGTTCCCCGTTTTTTAGAGTGTATTACCCCTCGGGGGGGGGGGGGTGGGACAGGGAAGGATGCCGTGGTGACACAAGCAGCGCAAGAGCCGGCCAGGAGAACGGGTAGTTTCTCCTAGCGGCCATGAATTTCAAGGCGCTCCTGCGGCACCGACGGATCCTTGCCCTCGACGGTCCAGATGGACCGTGGCCTCCCTCACCCGGGTGGCGGACAGCTTTTGCTGTCGTCGCATTTAATTGCGTGAGTTAATTTCGTCATTTCCGTTAATCTCGACGATTTTTTTATGCGGCAGTTGGCGTTAGGACGGTTGTCGTCACTGGATGCGCGAAATTCTCAGAGTAGCTGGTCGTGCGAGTTGAAGTTTTCACGTGGTCGTCAACTGCGCACGAAGAAATCGGAGTTAATGCGTGCGGCAAGTGGCGTCAGGCGTTTTCGTCAAGTTGCGCACGAGAATCACGGAGGTCTTCGGCACGTTGTGAGCATCGTCACTGTGCGCGAAGATTTCGGGTGGCTTCACGGCAGAAACGACAGCTCGCCGGGTAGGCCAGGCGCATGGTGATTTGCGTCGGAAAATGCAATGAGAGACGGCGTGACGACTGCCCGACGAAAGCGGGGGTCTACCGTCGTCCCGCCCGGGTTGAGAAAACTGAAACGAGAATGAATGCACTATGAAAGAGTTGGGTACAAGTACTAACCCTAATTGGGTTGTACCCTATATGGGCTACCCCACTACAACCTACACAAAAGCATAAGCTATAATGTTCTGACACACCCCCATAGGCAAAGTGGGGGAGTACAAGGGGTCACAAGACCAGTCAAGCAAATCAAAGCAAAGCAAGCTCAGGGTGGATCACAAAGTCACCACACATTCCGAGCACAAGGTCAAGGCCAAAAGGCCGGTTCACATGCAGGAGTACATATATATATATAAAAGGCTAGACAAGCAAGAGCAGGGTATATATATATATATATCACACCCTCTTCGCTGCAGCCATGTGCTCCGGTCTGTATCTCCCAGGAGCAACATAGCGTGCGAGAATGCTAAGAGGGTATGCAAGGTCAGGTCGAGTGCAAGTCATCAGGTACATGAGGCAGCCAACAAGCTCTTGGTACGGGCCACTCGACTCTACGGACTCATCCGAAGGCAGAGCCGAGAGCGAGTGGCGAGTAGGCAGAGGAGTGGCCTGACGCGAGGAGTACGTGAAGCCGAAGCGCTGAAGGACCTGCTGCACCATGTGTGACTGAGTCATGGTAATGGTGCGGCGTGCTCTGTCCCGGGTGATCTGCAAGCCAATGTAGCTGCGCAGTTCACCCAGGTCTGTGCACGTGTGTCTCTTCTGCAGCTCGGACTTCACGTGGGCGAGTCCAGCAGTGTCAGCTGTGGCAAAGACCAAGTCGTCGACGTACACAAGGATGTAGAACGGCGGCAAAGAAGTGTCGGTGCGCAGAAACAGCGACGGGTCGGCAGTAGAGGGAGCAAACCAAAGAGCCGCAAGTGTAGTCCTCAGTGTGTCGTGCCACTCACGCGGTGCCTGGCGGAGACCGTAGACTGGCCGCCGGAGGTTCCACTGGGTGCAAGGAGGAAAAGACCCAGTGAAGCCAGGTGGGCGACGCAGCCAGATCTCCTCGTGTAGGCTGCCTTGCAAGAAAGCAGTGCTGAAGTCAAGAGAGTGCAGCTCGTAGTCACGGTGAGCAGCTATGTGCAGCAGTACCCGAAGAGTGATCATCTTCGGGGTGGGAGAGAAGGTCTGAAAGTAGTCAACTCCCTGCCGCTGACTGAAGCCACGAGCCACGTAACGCGCCTTGAAGACAGGCGGAGAACCCGGCGGTCGCTTCACTCTGAAAATCCACATGCCACTGACGATGTTCGCCCCTGGCGGGGGAACCTCGTCAACGTAGGTGCCTGTGGACTTCCAGGAAGCCATCTCTGCGTCCATAGCTGTCTACCACTGAGAGGAGTAGGGACCCTCTATCGCCTCCGCGTAAGAGCGCGGAGTCGGGATGTCAAGTGCATCCGGGTCTCCCTCAGGGGTAAGCAGTACGGACACGAGATGAGGTGAAGCAGCAGCCAGACACTGGAACTCCTCCTGACTGTCCTCAGGGACGTCCGTGCCTAGGGCACACTCACCCCCGACGGACGGAGGACACACAAACTCAGATTCAGCGACAAGACTAGCAGCGTAGTCTAGACGACAGCGAGCAGCAAAGTCGACGAGCTCAGTAACTAGGGCAGACGCAGCAGTGGACTCAAAGGAAGGGTATGTGACGACAGTAGCAAGGAGACGCGTGACAGTAGGACTGGCAGCACGAAGAGAGTCCGACTCCGATCGGCATGAGTAGGAAGAGAGGACTTAGGAGGAGAAGGCAAAGGGGCACGCAGAGGAGCAATGGACGGACGCAGAGACATCCGGTGCGTGCCAGGGACAGGAGGAGGACGCTGACGCGAACCACGACCATCAGTGTGAGCAGGGCGGAAAGGCGACGCAGGGCGAGACGCAGGCTCACGACGCTCAGCAAGACCTCCAGTAGGACCAGTGTAGGGAGAAGGAGCAGGTAGCGGGGAGGCCGGCTGTAACTGTAAGTGTGATGGGACAGGCTGTGGACACTCTAAGGGAGGAGGAGGACCAGTAGAAGGCGGGAGACCAAGAACCTGCTGAAGGAGCGGAACGAAGTAGGGCCGAGGCCGCGCGGCGACTCCAGACACAGCAGGGACAGCACCAGTACCCCCAGCGGCAGCACCAGCGCCAGGAGCACCTCCAGCTCCTGTACCTCCAGCAGCACCAGTAGTACCCCCAGCTGGACCGCCTCCAGGACCGACAGCAGTAGTCTCAGCACCAACACCCTCACAGCTCCAGCTCCAGTCGCACCCGCAGGCCCAGCAGCTCCAGTACTCCCAGCACGAGCACCTCTGGGACCCGCGGCACCAGCACCCTCAGCAGTCGGAGAACCTCCAGCTCCAGCAGCACGCCTCCAGCACCGGGCAAACCACTCACGCAGCTCCTATGGAGAGAGGGGCTCTCGTCGAGACGAAGTACTCGGAGAACCTCCAGGCCCAGTACCGCCAGACGCCACACGAGTAGGCCCAACCCCCTCAGGCTCCGCACCTCCAGGCTCAGCACCCCCAGGCGTAGCACCCCTAGGCTCAGGACCCCCAGGTGTAGCACCCCCAGGCTCAGCACCCCCCGGCTCAGTACCCCCAGTCGCAGCACCCCCAGGCTCAGCACCCCCAGCAGTAGCACCCGCAGGCTCAGCAACCCCAGGCGCAGCACCCACACGCTTAGCACCCCCAGAGTCAGCACCAGAGTCACCAGTAACCTCGACAGGCTCGACTGCGTCTTCCTCGGACACACCTGAAGGGGCAGGACCCTGAGGGGGGAGGGGGTCTACCGGGGGGGGACCTGGTACAAGGAAGAGCGGCAACGGGGGGAGGGACGGAGTGCGGTAGGGGAAGAGGCGGTAGTAGGGGACCAACTCGTCAAACGTGACGTCCTGGGAGGACAGAACACGGCGAGAGGTGGGGTGGTAGAACTGCCACCCTGGCGCGTCAGGGGGGAAGCCAAGGAAGACGCAAGGAGTAGCACGAGGGGACAGCTTGTCCGCACACAAGTCGTGAAAAAACGCCCGAGATCCCTAGACACGGAACGCAGACGCATCGCCAACCTTCCCCGTCCACAGCAAAGCTGGGGAGGTCTCCGGCTTGGAGACCCTGGGGTGAAGGTTGATCTGATGCGCCGCGTACCGAACCGCAAACGGCCACAGAAAATGGGGGGCAGCCGCATGCATCATGGACGTACGAGCGACATCCATGACCATGCCAATGTGGCGCTCAGCAATCCCATTTTGCTGTGGAGAGTCCGGAAGCGTGAAGGTCTGGCGGATGCCTCGTGCACGACAGTAGGCTCGCAAAAGGCCAGAGGAGAACTCCCCGCCTCTGTCAGAGTGCAATCGCAGAACAGGAAAGTCCGAGCCGAAGCTCTGCTTGAGCTCGAGACGAGCTACGCGGATCCAGTCGATCAACACCGCAGTGACATCACCCTTGCTGCGCAAGGGGAAGATTGTGGTGTAACGCGAGTAGTCGTCAACCACCAGCAGGAATTAGCGCTCGTGACCCTGTCCACGGACGCGGGCCGGGCTCCACACGTCCATGTGAAGCATCTGCAGCGGGGCCTCTGTCGGAGGAAACTGGGAGGAGTGAGGGGCAGCCCGTTGCCGCCCCTCGACACAGGGGACGCAGGTAGGGCCAGGCCCAGGAGGAAGGGGAGGGAGGGACCGGGGAAGACCAGAGACAAGGACACGGGAGGCCATGCCTCGGAGACGAAGCAGGGAGGGGTGACCAAGGCGGTGGTGCCAGAGGAGAGTCTCGTGAGACAAGAGGCGACACGAGCAGGGGGCAGACTCAGGACCAGTCCTGGACGCTGCAGCAAACACCTGACCCGACGCACCTACCTGACCAGATGCAGTGACTGGAGGAGACGCAGTGGTC